ACAGTATGTGGAAAATAATGTGTTTTTCGAACCTTAAACCACATAAACACATTTCATTACACCAAATACACCAAATAATGTTCTTTTTAGAAACATCATACGACCCCTTTAATACAAGACATTTTCACAAAAAAAAAAAGAATTCAACGGGAGCAAATGGACATCCAGAATGTTTTCTCTCTGTCTCGCAGTTATTGGTCGTAGAAAGAGAAGCACTTTGGGCAGCGACAGGGGAAGGAGTAAAGATCTCTTTTTAAGAGCCCAAATAGGGCGAGATCTCTGATGTCAATCATCACATGAGTTTCATTCACTTGAAGAGGCTTCATTATTTCTACATTACCACCAGTGCAATGTGCTACAGCCAAACTGTCTTTATTTTCCTCTGCAAAACACACAGAATCATAGCTTATTCTTTAATATTATTAGTTAATATACAGATGTTCAACAAGTTTTCCAAATAAACTGACAATTGATATCCCCCTAAAACTTTGAGAATTGTTATTATATGCATCCATCATATTGTGGATGTCGAAATAAACCTACCAGAGAATATTTCAGAGTGAGGAAGGTGCAGACCTGATAACGACCCATTAAAACAGTCAATGTTGTACAAGGGTCCTGCAGGCTTCATCCGATCAAAACCAACTAACAGACGAGGATCCCTTGAGACAACTCTATACAGCACCTCTCCTTCACCCTCCATCAGAAACACAAGACTGGTCAGACTGCGACGAAACTGACCAGCATGTGGACACACAAACCTGAAAGACAGGATATTTTCATGTTATTAAATCATAATGGCCTGCATATTTATTTATTATGTGATAATACTGTAGATAATGCAAAAAGAAAAGAAAAGCCGGGATGTTTGAATAAGGATTTTGGAAAAATTCATGCAAACAAATACAAATAACAGACACATACAGCATATATTTTGAAAATATTTACATTATTTGTATCCATATAAATTAGATCATATATAAGTATATTTAATATATAAACGTAACACATTTTGCTTAAATATATGCATGCATGCATGTATGTGTGTGAATTTATATATACTTAAGAAATATACACAGTACACACACATTATGTAAACAAAAACTTATATTTATATATATATATATTAGGGCTGCACGATAAATCGCATGCCGCAAAGTCGGATGGAGATTTACCGCTGATTACAGAACCGACTTTCTGACAAGATGCGCATTAAATATCGCATGCGATTTATCGTGCAGCCCTAATATATATATATATGTATATTTGTAAAAAAAATCGAGAATCGAATCGAGAGCTTGCGAATCGAAATATATATATATAATGAAGGGTTTGGTTCCAAAACGCGATAAAAGTCTTTTTTTTTTAAATTGAGTTTCCGGCAAAATCAGTATTGTATCTGGTCGGTATTTAAAAGTCAATTTTTAATTTAATGAAAAATGTGATATTCTGTCATGTTTTCTCCCTTTCTTTCCAAACCGCGACAAACCCCAGTCTCCCTTCTCTGCAGAATGTGATATATCCGCTCAACCAATCACAGCGCACCATTTCACGCACTCTAGACAGTAATGGCGGCGCTTTGAATGCACCCGGCATCCTAGTTTTCCTCATCTATTTTGTACTTTGTGATCAACAAACAAACTTAGGGCTGCACGATAAATCGCATGTGATTGTCATGCGCATCTCGTCAGTAAAGCCGGTTCTGTGATTAGTAGTAAATCTCCAGCACGTGCTTTCAGATGGAGCAGCATTTAATACACAGAGCCATAGATCACTGCAATATCGCGATCATAATCGCAGATGAGTCGCATTCGATTATGAACGCGATATTGCGTAGCTTGTCAGTGTAAGTGTTTTTATTTATGCTATTAATGTTTTTGTTAATACAGCGTATAGCACTAGTCAGCTAAATGAATGTAACATGGCAAAGATGAATGCACTTCTGGAAGTTGAATGCAAGGGAAATGTCATTTTGGAATTTCTGTGGTTTAATGTGATATTGTTGTTCATGTATGTTCATGATGAAATTTTCTTTTATTGTTGTAATTAATTTATAGCATTAATAAGTTGACCCGTTGAATTCATTTTGGGAGCGATGACTGATTTAATGTATTTTTAGTCCAGTGCCTGTATATAAGATTAGTATTGACCAGGTTCAGAGGCTGTCATTTGTGGATTAAGCATGTTGTGTATTTTCAAGAGTTTCAATATGAAAAATAACTTTTATATTGATTCAATGGATTTATTGCATTTTGGGAAAAAAATTATACAATTTTATAATACATCTTTGAAAATCAAAATCTGGATTTGAATTTTTAATGTTATTATAACCTAAAAATGCTTTTTGAAAGTTTGAAACAG